AGGTGAAATGCGGAATTGTGTGTACTAGACAGGTTATAATAGATGTATGCAGCAGTTATTACGAAAAGGAAAACAACGAAAACATTGAAGAGAGAAAAAAGTGTCGTCAATAAGTATATCCACCCTGGTCGTTACAACAGGTCCCAAATAAATTCATCAAAAAGTCATAAATCAAGTCCGTGCCTTTGAAGGAGAAAATAACAGCAATACTTTCTCCGCACCCTTTTTTAACCGCCGTCGTTCAGGACTCCGTACGCTCTCGTCGCGGTCGCTAGAATCCGACGAGGTGTCAACCACTTTGTGATTCTCTTCATCCTCATCCTCATCCTCTTCCGTCAGAGTACTATCCGCCGTCGTCGCACTGCCACATGAAGGAGAGCTGGATATCGTCGGAGACGTGACTGTAGACGTCGAAGCGGACCGTGACCCTCTGGATGTCGCAGCCGACATCCGCCCCGCCTGCGCATCCAAAGAAAGCCGCCCCATATCCACCGACACCGGCCGCAGCTTTTTATGCTTGCCCTCCTTCTCGTCGCTCGCCCTGGACCCCATCTTCAGATGCAAAAACTGCTTCGCACTAGAGTTCCGGCGAAATATCGGCCGTCCGCTAAGCCTGTGCGTACCAAAAGATGCTTCCGAGACTTTGGATGCTCGCCGGGAGTGCGGTGACTCTGCGACCTTGTCCTTTTTGAAGGCCAGGCGATAGCGATCGACGACGCCTCTAGAGAAGAGCGTCGTCGCACCCCCATTCCTGTCGGATCCTACGCCAGGTTCAACGAGATCCCAGTCGTCTTCCTCATCCGCCTCGTCGAGTGACGGGCATTTCGCGGTAATGTCTGACAGCACAGACGACGGTTCGCGGCTGAATGAGGATGTGAATGTAGGTATGGGTACGTCCGCCTCTTCGCTCGAAAGCGCAACCGTTGTAGACGGGGGAGGTGGCTGCCAATCGGTGTCGGAGACCTGAATCGTCGGATGTGTTGGAGAAGGGTGTACCTCTGACGGCGACTCCTCGTGATATTCTCCACTGCGTCCGTCACCGCTCTGGCTGTAAACACTCATACTCCTCTCGTCGCTCTCCTCTCCGCCTTCATGGGTACCCTTATAGGAGTATCCGTCAAAGAGGTCAACAGGCGAGGACTCAAGAACCATCTGTGGATGATCTGCCGAGAGCTTCGTTTGACTGGGACATGACATCGAAGAGTCTGTCTGTCCGTTCGTCGACTCCATATCAGCAAGGGCGTCCGGCATGGGGTCTAGGACAGGTTCCATGTCCAGGAACATAGCATCAAAATTCTGCGTGTCGCTGGCATTTGAGGGATCCGTGGGTGGTATATAGGGCGCTGAGAAAAAAGTTAGCAATCAGAAGAAGCGATCAACAAGGAGTATGACAAGCAGAACTCACGTATGTATCGCTTGTGATAGACGTGGGCCCAGTCTATCATAGAGAAGTAGGGATGTTGTTTAATCTGTGGTTCTGATAGCCGGAAGTGCGGATTACGATGAAGAAGCTGTGGAATGAAAGCTCAATGACGGATTCTCCACCGAAACCAAACGACTTACACCCCTCAAGAAACTCCTGGTATCCGCATCGATGGACTTGGACTCGGGGAACTTGAGATCAGCTTCCAAGACGCGCTGATACATTTCCACCTGCGATGAAGCCCAGAACGGAGTCTACAGTCCGGTGTAAGAGTGAGATACTACAAGACAAAAGAAACTCACAATTCCGACGAGCATCTCGTAGAGCAACGTTCCCAAAGCCCACCAATCAACCTCATAGGAATAAGGCAAACCTTGAATAACCTCAGGCGCCAGATATTCCGCGGTCCCACAGAAAGTGCGCGTCTCGTCCCTTCTAATACCGCCATAGTCGAAACGCCACGGGTAGTCTCCAGGCCCAGGCAGTTGAGCACCACACGCAGCACTATCCCATCTTCTTGTGCCCTTCGGTGTCGAAGGTGCCGTTATCACCAACCCAGCACTCTCTCTCACGCCCACAAACTCCTTTGACAGACCGAAATCCGTCAGAACGATGTGCCCATTCGCAGCAATCAGGATATTCTCCGGCTTCAAATCCCGGTATATGATCCCTGAGCGATGCAGACCTTCCACGCCCTCCACAATCTCTGCAGTGTAAAAGCGCGCCCTGTCGCGCCCTAACCGACCCCACCGCGAGAGCTGCGTAGCGAGGTCGCCGCCAGGATGAAAATCCTAGAATAGACAAATGTGAGCGAAAATATCCTCAATGTCGATTCTGAATTGCACGAACCAGGACCAGGAATAGGTTCTCTTTGTCATGAAAGCTCCACCAAAGCTTCACTATAAACGGATGACCGGCCTCTGCATTCGCACACCCAAGCCGCTTGAGGACTGCTTGCTCAGTAAGCGTATGCATAAGCTCCTGATGTGCGAGGACATGTCGTTTCATGATCGCCTTGAGCGCGTATAACTGAGAGTTGTCCTTCTTCCTGACTAGCAGTACCTTTCCCGCGCACCCTTTCCCAAGCACCCGCATCATATCGAAGTCTTCGATTCGGATCTCCGCACACTTTTTGAGTGGTTTGGGCCTAGGTTTCGAGTTGGAACATGGTGAAGAGGTTGATTCGGAAGAAGAGGAAGTCGAAGAAGACGACAATGACGAGGAATCCGGAAGTGTCGACTCGGAGTCCTGAGTCTGAGTATGAGCATGCGTCACCAACGACGTCGTAAAGCCCCGCGAAATCCCCGCACTCGCAGAGCGTGAACGATACGCTCTTGTGGGCACGGGTCGCTCCTGCCTTGTCTCAGGCTGCTTGTCGCCGCCGGTGGTCACGCCGTTTTCACAGGGCTCCTTGGCGTCGGTTGATCTGAATTCAGAAGACGCGGACCCCTCTCTGTCCAGATCTGGCGTAGTCACTCCCATGTGAGCCACAGCTAGGAGATCGGGCCTCACGCGCCTGTGAGGCCTTTCTGCACGGGTGCTCTGCAGGTCGTCTGTGCGCACACGCATGAAACGTCGGAATGCCGCACTATGTCTGAGACTGGGAATGTTGGAGACGGTGGTGAGATATGCGGCGAGGGCTGTAGCCGTCGTAGTGGTGGTCGTAGCAGAACCAGTAGGACATGATCCGTTCAAGGCATAGAATGGATCGGGCTGTTCGGCTGCAGGTGTCGGCAGAGGAGATGCATTCGTTGAACCGCCACGTTTACGAGATAGACGAGCGAGAGCATTGAGAAATGTTGATTTGCGCTTTGTCGGGGCCATGAAGGAGGTGGTAATGGTGGGTAAGAGGGGGATGCTGAGGCCTGGCTGCGAGGCTCGGAGCTTGACATCCAGCTGGACGATCGCCGTGGCCGTGCGTGTAAGTGTGATATTGTGGGTAGGCGCTGGAATGACGCATGAGCATGTCTAGGACGGACGAGGAAACTACGGATGAGCTCACTCTTGATGTAGATGCTGAATGAACGGGAGTCGTATGGCGCCTCAGCTACGCTGACACTCCATGGACCGTCTTGGGATACGCTGGAAGACATGTCTATTACGGATGTAGAATGGACCGTAGTTGTAGCGAGTTATTAAAAGCGTCTTGACGGTCGTAAAGCCTATATCCAAAGCCGCTCATCCAGTGCAGAGGCCAGCAGTATCGACGGAGAAGTAGGAGACGAGGCAAGGCAGCACAGGATTGCTCGTCGTCGTTGGTGACAAGTCGGTATCAAGGACAGGAGACTGCCGTCTGCCTATAAATGCTTCGCTCATAGTGGTATGGGGAACACGGAGGCAAATGATGAATGTCACCTGCCATATCCGGCCATCTTCTCGGCCACTCCTGCTGCCTTCTTTGGCCCTCAATCTGTCCCAAATTGGCCACAACGTTGACACCAAACCATTTCGTATTCGAGTCTCGATGCCCCCCACAATAGGTCTCTGAGATACAGTCTTCAAATGCCGTTCTGGCTCTGCATTTTCCTACGGATCTCTCCATGCCACACACATGATAGGAAGACGTGGCCAAATCGAGCAATGATGTTCCATGGAGCAGAAGAGGGCACGAAATGGACCCAATAGCGACGTTCTATAACGTTGTTGCATAACAAGGGTTCTTTCCCCTTGTCGTAGTGGCGCTTACTCTCTTATTCTACACCTTGGTCTCGACTTTCGTGTGGTACTACGGATGCATTCGGGACGTAAGTAATTTCGCCTAGACTTTGCGCTCGAGCACAGCTTCGCACTAGACGCATCCCTTCATGCCGTCAACTAGCGCTTCTCCTGTTCGTTATGATTTGACAGCATTTCGCCATGATCCACATCATTTAACCTCCATTCATGACCTCGACTGCGAGGAAGAAATCGTATGTCAGCGAAATGAAACCCAGCCACCAGAGAACGCACGCATGTCTTCTCAGTCGCCAATGATAGCCGCGAAGGTGTACACTCACTCCTGTTCAGTACGATCGTCTGTATGATGCTCCAAGCTTCGAATAACACGCCGACTGTTATGATGCATGTTTTCCGGTATTCTTAGCGCGCTTATCCTCTAAACTAGGTCACCGTAGCAGATCCACTTGGGGGCAGTCTGCGCCACCGTGTCTGAACATGAACTCTAACAGTCAGCCTATCTGCGCTCATAGTCCGCTCTGGTTCGGATTCCAGCAAATTCCGCTGTCAACAACTTACCTTGGGACACTGTCCACGAGACCGTTTGCCAACAGGTCCACCGAAACCAGGGAGTCGGCTCTCATTTGTCAATGCGCCATTTTACGTTGACCGTTCTCCTGAACGAAGAAGACCAAAATGCAGCGCGAATTTGGCGCGGATTGACTCATTCAGGCATTTGTTGCCCGTCATCACCTGACACTCTGTTGCTGATTTGAGTTGTAGTACGTGGTCGGATATGTTTCGAATGTAAGAATACTGTGAATATGTTCATCTCCATCCCGGTTGTAACGACGTTCTGTATCAAATGAATCTCTGGCAAGTACGGGAAGGCCGGATAGACAAGCGCATACTTCGATGACATGGTGAGGTGGCCGAGCGGTCTAAGGCGCCAGACTAAGGATCACATTGAGTTTCAATGAGTACATCTGGTCCGAAAGGGCATGGGTTCGAATCCCATCCTCATCACCCGAGGCATCACTACGTCTCATGTTTTTGCGCCACATGTTGTTTTGTAGTAAATTCATGGTGACGGCCCTTCCTACATCACAAGCCATCGCGTGTGTCATATTTTTGCGCCACATGTTCTTGTGTGTTTCCAGTAGTCAATCTATGGTGGCAGCCCTTCATACAACACAGAGGCCGATGTATAATGATCCCCTTCCCAATAGCAGTCCGCATTCCCAGACGTGCAAGTTCAGAGGCTCGTTAACAGCACAAGCATGTTCATTGTCCAAAGTCCCAAGATCTCATAAATTATATACTGTAACGTTAATGGTAACTTGTAATGCATATACTGCCTAATATCTATACAAATGGTCATGGTCGATGTGGATATCAATAAAAAAAAGAGTAGTGGAAGAGATGAGATGAACACGGAAATGGCGTTACTGTGAATAATTAAATAACCCTTCATCCTCGTACAACGACAGATTACTCGTCTTGCGCGGCCTGGAGCTCTCAGTCGCTGTGCGCCGGTGTAGCGAAATCTCCCTGGAGAGCGGCTGGCGCCTGGGTAGCGAACTCTGCCGCGATACCGTCGCAGAGGGAGATGCGACCTCCCGTCGACTCTGCCTAGTCGACCCGCTTCCCAATCCTTCCAGGCTCTTGAGAAAAGCATCATTCATGCGACCCAATTCCGCATCGACGGCCTCTTCGCTCGTCATCGCAACGATCCTGCCGATCGGCTGGTCCTGGCGCATAAGCAGCCCAGCGTTGGATGTGGACGCGACGGGATACGGTATGGTAGACGTCGGATATCCCTTTGGCGGTGAACTACTGGGGAAGGGGGTCGTATTCATAGATGACGGAGGTGATGACGAGAGAGGAAGCGGCCGTCGTAGAGGTTTCCGTGCATCGATCTCCTGAACAAAGTCACTCAGGTCATCATCATCCGTCCGGGCCGCAGCGGCGCTGGCCAGCTTCTCATTGTAGCTGGAATGGGCACTTCCACTCCCAGGTGTCAGTGGTCGCGTAGTGCCAGAGTTGGGTGAATAGCGGTGTCCAAAGGAGGACGAGTAGCGTTTCCGTGTAGGCGGCGGTGGTGGTTGTTGAGATGGAGATGCGGATGTGGATGATGATGCAGCCAGAGGAGAATGGGGAATTGTAGGCGGTGAAATCTTTCCAGCACCTAGAGGCGACGAACTGACCAGACCCGTCAAACCGACATTAACAGATGATAGGCTACCGGATAGAGTATCTGTCTTGAAAGGATGCGGATGTGGTCGACGCGGAGACGAGCTCAGCAAGGATGGTGCACGGGGTGATGATGACAGTAGTGAAGGGGGTCGTGGAGAAGATGTTAGTATAGACTGTGTCCGCGGGGATGCTTTCGGCGACGAGCTCAGTGCCGAGTCCCGTCTGATACGGTTGAGACTGCTCCCACCACTGCTCTTTGCGCTTGCCAGTGTCGGTACAAACTCTGCGTATGCGTCGTCGTCGTCGCCAGCCCGCATATGGCTGCTCAACACGCTTTCCCTAGAGTCGATGCCAAAGTCTGGATTGGGGAGGTACTCAACGCGAAGCGTAAGTGTACCGCGAGGGTGCGGTACCGATGGGAACGTGTGCGTCCGCGAACCAGTTCCAGCGTACCAATCCAGACCATCAAAGCCTTCTGGATCGACGAGACGCACTTCGACCCGTGCTCCCATTCGTCGAAGCCGCCCCTTGATACCCCAAGCGGGCAGTACTCGCAGCAAGCTCCAAGCACCCCGGAATAGTGGAATACCGTGCTTGTAAACAGTAGGTAGGTCATCGCTGCCGTCTGCAGAGGCATGAGACGGTGCCGCCGAGAGCGAGATGGACCACCGTTCAAGCAGAATCTCCTTCATAGTTGCCGGCAATGGCGCGCGTGAAGGCAGCGACACGGCGACCTGCGTGGCGGGCAGGTCAGGGAGCACGAGCACCACGTGGACACTGAACGGCGGCGGTCGTGGGCGACTGGGACTGGGCGTCGACAGATTGAACTGGGAGCACAGTCAGTTAGACCCTTTAGTACATTTGGGCAGACGCACCCATTTATCAACCTTGACCGTTCCACTTCCAGTTGCACCACCTTCACCGCTCGCACGTCCGCCTCCGACACCGCCTACGTCGCCTCCGCCAGCGCCATTCCCGCTCTCCCGAGCCTCATGCACAACGTAATACAGCTTTGAATAGAAATGCGCAGAAATCTGGTCCGCCTTTCGATCCATCTCAGACTTGTCCCGTCGTCGTCGTGTTTCCTCTTTCAAGTCGTCGTCAAAGTCATCGTGTCGGAAGCGTGTGGGAGTAGCAGACAGTGGTTGATACGGTTACGTAACTTACTCTGGGGTTGGAGGTGCCTTATCTTATCTCCGCAATCCGTTCCGTTTGAAAGCTCAATTGTCTGCGGCTTACCTCTGACTCCTTGGAACGGTTTCTCTACGCGGTATCGATGGTTCAATCAATAAAATCAGCATAATCGATAGGATAAATGATTATGATAGACGCCCGAAGAGCCTGACAAGCCTTGATTCCCAATGATTGGCGCTGCAGAGTGATAGAGGTCTATGACTCGTCAGGAACTGCTTCTTAAGTCCCGATTTGCGCTGATTTGCGCATCTCCTATGAATGGACACCAGCTGCTAAACTAACGGTACTTGCATAGATGTGCTTTTTGAATATTGCGTTTGGAGTCCCAGGACATGGAAAACGAAAGATACTGTACTATCTAAAAACAAAAACAAGAGAATGGGATAACATTGATGAGGATGGGATTCGAACCCATGCCCTTTCGGACCAGATGTAATCATTGAAACTCAATGTGATCCTTAGTCTGGCGCCTTAGACCGCTCGGCCACCTCACCATGTCGTTGAGATATGCGCTTGTCTGTCCGGCCTTCCCGTACTTGCCAGGGATTCATTTGATACAGTACAGCTTTTCGACTTGCTCGAAACTTGACGGATGATCGATGATCGACGATCGATCAGTTTTGAATCAAAACGTCGGCCCCGACCAGGCCCCGACAGCCCGGCTCTCCTAATCGGGAAAGCGACCAAGTCCTAGGTCCGCTTTGGGAGGTAGCGAAGACAGTGGCAATCTCTATGGGAAAGCACCGCATCATGTTGAGAATGTTCTGCAAGTCCGACTATCTTCTAGCGTAAACGCATTGGCAAGTGGTGGAGTCTGGGATGCCCCCAGGGGATTGCGCCACAATTGAACTGAGTGCCAACCTCCAATTTGACCGTCCCACTTCTGCGGTTTACTTGTACAGGATCTTTCCGGTACACGGGGTTCACACTTGGATCTATCTCAATGAACTTCAGTTAACCCAGCTATGGATTTCATGGAAGCCTGTTGCAAGATTCACCGAGACCTAGCGTTGAGCGTAGGCCTCAACATTCGGCGACATGAAGATATTCTTTAACTTGAATTTCGGTGCTCTTAGTACCTGACTCGCTTAGCTTTTTCAATGTGGAAGAGTCAGTGTTTACTGAGTGTTATGAACTCCAGATGAGATATTCCGATGTGTTTAGCTAGCGTCCTGAAGGAACCGAACCGTATCTTCTTTGATTCTTCAAATTGGAATGGGATTTCGTTCTGCGTTTCTTGTACTCCGCGTGCTTTACCCGGTGGCTGTGTAACCTATCTTTCCGTTCCACCCAGGTCCAACCATCTGTACACCAAATTAAACACTAGACACTCCTTCACATTCCTTGATTTACTCTGGCTCGACAATGGTAGACGTGGACGACGATCTCCTCCGGCTACGTACCGCCAAATATGACCGACAAGGGGGCTCCTCGTCGACAATGAACCGGGTGTCTTTGGATACCCTTCGACAAGGATCATTGACTTCACTAGAAACGGATAGCCCGAGCGCCTCCCGATTCAGCTCAATGTCTTCACCCCCGGAACTGCATGCACCACGCCCTCGGCGACACCTCCCACTATGGCTGCACGATACGTCTCCGCCGTCGTCGCGTGCAGCATCACCTACAGGCAGCGCCATCTCCAGCCCAACAGTCGGCAGTTCCAGGATACGATATACATCCTTTTCCTCGCTGCTCCCCGCACCCAAGATATCGAGTTCGTCGGGGACGAGTACCGCAGCTCGGCGCCTGATTAAACACGCGTTTACGAAAAGCACGTCGTCAAAGGCGCTCGCTGTATCCCCGTTTTCCGTCCTCACACCCCTCTTGCCCGGGCCTCTGGCTCATACACTGTTGGTCGCGTTGCTCGTCCGCCTTGTCCTTTCCCTTTCCCTCCATTCGGGCCAAAATACACCACCCATGTACGGCGACTTTGAAGCACAGAGACATTGGCTAGAGGTGGCATTACATGTTCCATTGAGGCAATGGTACTATTATGATCTGCAGTGGTGGGGAATGGATTATCCGCCGTTGACTGGATATGTTAGCTGGCTGTGTGGGTATGTCGGCGATCGCATTGACGGAACGTGGTTTGCGCTTGACGAATCGCGTGGGAGGGAGGACGACGGGTTAAAGTTGTTCATGCGATGGACGGTCGTCATTTGCGACGCGTTGATCTATGTTCCTGCTGTTCTCTGGTGGATGCGCGTGTGGGTCCGCTCTTCCAAGGCCAGAGTGAGATTCATCTACTCTTCCGATGATTCATTCTCTGACTATTCTTCAGAGTGTGTCTCTGTTGATAACATTGCTCCAGCCCTCCCTTCTCCTCATTGACTTTGGCCATTTCCAATACAACTCCCTCATGCTTGGCCTCACCCTCCTTTCCGTGTCGTGCTTTTCCACTTCCCGAGATCTCCTTGGCTGCATGTTCTTCGTTCTCTCCCTCTGCTTCAAGCAAATGTCCCTCTACTACGCTCCTGCCATCGGGACTTACCTTCTATCCAAATGCATTCATCAGCGTTCTCCCAGACTCTTCCTCCAGTACGGTGCCGTTACAGCCGCCACGTTTGCTGTCGTGTTTGCACCCTTTTTAATACCAGGAAAAGACGGATGGCCGCTGACACAGGTCATCCACC